CAGTAGTTAAATCAATTGGTATGCAATGGAGGTGTGCCATTGGCGTGGGAATAGAGCCGTAAAAGAATAATACGTTTTTTTGAATACGTGAAATTAGGACTGTTAATTTCTTTTCAAACGGTTTATTTTTGTAGTATTTGTAATTGGCGAATCCAAATTCAAAGAATGAGAAAATCGACGGTCTTGTTGTGTAAACATCTGTTCCCGAACAAGTTTAGAAATGGTCCCGAAAAAGTCCTGAACTAGACCCGAACTATATCCACGAGCAGTGTTGCTAGAACAACTGACTAGATTTGTTTTTATTTGTACTACTTCTGAATTCAGCTTGGTTTACGCGTGACGGTTTACACAAATGTCGCGCATACTGAGAGCAAAGATGTTTACACAGCACACCCAAGTGCAAATAATTTCAGTATTTTTAATATTTCTAGATTTACTGCTGGGTTAGACAATAGAAGGTACAAATTTTCTGCTGGGTTGGCGCTAATTTTACCATACTCAGGGCAAAGATGTTTTCACAACAAATTTGTAAAGGGTTTTGAGCTGCAATGGATTCTAGAACACGTTACGCTACATGTTAATCGACAAATGATTTTAAATAAATAACACCGTGTGACAGTAAATTTTACACACAAAAAAATTATTATATTCGCAAAACTATGGTTAAATTATAGTAAAACTGCGTACTTACTTTTCTCTCTAACATCTTGATTTTTTTTTAAATACTTTGAAATTAAAAAAAAACTATTATTTTAAAAAATTATTTAAAAACTTCAGTGCCATGTAGGATAACGATAAGGGTATCATATATGTAAAAGAAAAAATTCTGTAGAATTATAGCAGAATGGGTATCGAAAATGTCCTTTACAAATTTTGCCCTTAAATATCCTTGAAAATTTATTAAAAAAAAATAATGTTTGAGAAGTAATATACATGCCACCTCATCATCGCATTTCGTCCTGCAAACTTTATTAACTGAAAAACGCAAAATTTATTAAAAGCGCATTTTCAATACCTATTCCTCCTTGAAACCAAAAAACTTTATTGTGTTTAAATTCAACAGAATTTTCTCTCTCATTTGGTACTTATATTGTTATTCTACATTGCACCGATTTTTTTTAATAATTTTTTAAATTAATCGTGTCATTAAAATTTCAAAGTCCTTTGAAAAATATCCTTACGTCAGAGTGAAAAATTAAAAAGGCATTTTTTATATTTGGCCCATAGTTTCGTGAGTATATCGATTCTTTCGTGTGTTTTGAAATTTTATTGTTTTTGTTGCATGGCGTAATAGGTGTGCTCAAATACATACATAAGTATATGGAACGTCTCCAGATGCGTTACCGCTCCCCCTTGCTTACGGCTTCAATGCTCTACAGGTTGGATTAAACGTGACCAAGAAACCGTTTGCATAGCATTTTAGATAACTTTTCATCGTCCCCAAATATACCTACCGCTAAATCGTTACTGATCCTTTTCTTTAGATTTGTATCCTAAAAGCAAGTAGTTGGGGAATTCAAATAGTCTCATAAAATTATAAGTTGGAAAAAAAATTAAATAATAACAACAACAAGCTGGTAACACCCTCGAGGACTACATATCGCAATCTAAATCAAAGCAGCCACAACTAAAACATCCGTGTAAAATTTCTTCTTCATAACCATTTTCTTTAACTGGAAAAATACTATTAAGATTGTTTCTGTTTAGCTTGCGCAGCATCTACATTTTTTTTGCATTTACGGAACATTTGGAATTTTTTAAGTTGTGACTGTTTTTGTTTTAGGGTGCGATTTGTTATGCAGTTAATACCTACCGAAAACATAGAATTTAGAGTTGTAAATGTAATGTTTCCTTAGAAGGAAATGATTAGACATAGACTAATATATTCTCATTGTTCTCCGACTTAAATACGCGGCGTCAGAGACACTCCAGCTATAAGCACAAATTTGCAATGGTGCGAAAAGAGTACAGAACTTGGAGAGCTGTGTGCGGGCATACGAACTCTCCTGAATTTCGCGAGAGAGGACTTTGGCAAAGGTAAGGTCTTATCGTCTAGGAACTGGGAAAGCTCGGCTTCTGCTCCTCAGATATGATATGCATAGGGTAGTAGTTTTTAAAAGAAACTCTTAAGGTTGATACCTACAGCAAGTCGACCGGGAGCACTGCTATGTGAAGAGACCTTCAACCTTCCAGGCCAAATCTTCAGTGGTCCTAGAGTGCTTAGAGGAACTTAGTGCTCTGGCTGAGAATAATGCTATGCATTTGCTATCAGATCAGTTAGTCAGATTGGCAGCTGCCTCGCCCCAATAGAACCTGAGGCTTCCTTTCAGTAGGTCCCAACATTATAAAGGAAGTGCTCAGAAAGGAAGACACCAAACTATGGCAACCGCACTGTCGTAACAGCACAGGTCTTAGCCAAACTTAACAGTAGGGTACAATTTGAAAAGATATAGGCTACTAATGGGCCTTCACAGGTTTTTTGACCGGCCATTGTACCTATGTCGCTTCTGTGACTCTGCCTAGGAGATACCATTACATCTACTTCTGAAGCGAGATGCATGCAACATTTTTTAAAAGTGCTTAATGTAAAATGGCCTCCACTCCTTAAAATACTGGAAGCCGCAAAAGTGTGCACTTAGGTATTATATACATATGTACATTTTGAGGTTATCTTCTTTGAACCCGCTATTTCCTTCATCTGTGGCACGCCATTTTTTAGGGAATGGAACCTCAAATATAGACAAAAACCTTTATTTGATTCGCTTCATAACATTTAAAATTATAGACTTAAGAGCGCAAAAAAGTAAGGTTAAGCATTAATTTTTGTTCCATAGTGTAAAATTGACTTTTTTTTTAAAGGCGTGCTGTATAAAATTACTGCATTCATGGGCCCATATTCTAAAATATTTGATGAAAATACTTAATATTCCGAACGTGTTGTTAAGTACCAGAAATTTTTAAGTATTTATGTAATTAAAACAAAAAGTAAACAACGAGCGTTTGAGCGTGGCAATTCATACTACTTGGCTGGACCGGTAGTTATAAAAAAGTGTGTCAGAATATATAAGTTGTTTCGAGGACTATCTTTGGTTATCAACAGTTTCAATAAAAATTTGTCCATACTTTTCATTTGAATATTTTATTATTTTTTTAACATTTTATAATTATGTATTTTTAATTTTTGTAGGCTTTATTAATAAAATTTCTGTTATTATTTTATTTAATTTAAGCTTCAATTTGTATTTAATAAATATTTAAGCTATAATTATAAATACTTGACTAGTTATTTGTTTCGATAATTTTAAACTTTCTAATTAAATTTTAAAAATTCATAAGCACTTAATTGCATAACGATGTAGAGCATCAACAATTCATATACATACATACATATGTATGTAACTCGTTTAGATCCACCTCGCTTGTGAGCGGACATACAACAAACAGTTCTCTGTCATCCTTTTTTAACTTTACGCTTTACTTTACTTTCTTTTCGCTAAACAATTTTCTTAAAATGCCATACTCGTGCGCCGTCCACCGCCGCCGCCGCCACTCGATCCTAATCGCGGTCCGCCCCGCGGCAGTCCACTGTGCGAAACGCTGCGACCCATTCGCGCCTCGCTACCGCGCCGTTCACGCGCTTTCCGCAACAGATCGCTTGTGCTCGGTCGGCGGCTATCGCTCGCGCTGGACGTACCGCTGCGCTTGCACGACATAATGTCCGACGTGGAGGAGCGTCGCATGTTGCCCGAATCGATGGCGTACGGTGACAGGTAGTACGGCGACGGCGAACTGGCCTGCGAACGCGAACACATATCGTAGCGATTGATGTGCAACAGCTGCGAACTGGAGCGATTATCATCTTCGTGTGAGCTATTGCGACGCGACGAGTACGGTGATTGTGGATAATCCAACAGCAGATTTTCCGCTTCCTCAGCATCGACCGATTCGATCTTGAGATAGGGTGGCATGCGATTATTGATGGCGGTGCCCCCTCTGCACCCGGGTGGTGTGTCGGCCAGCAACCCGCTGCCGTTGGCATTATCAGTAGTGCCATCGCAGACGCCAGGACCGCCGCTTCTGCTAGCGCCACTGCCGTCACCACCACCGCCCAACGAAGACGATTGCGAGTGCGAATGTTTGTTGCCGTTGCGCAAGCCCGAGTACAATGACTTGATGTGAAAGTCGAAAGACTTAAAATTTAACAATGAACGGCGCTTTTGCACCTTAGGCTCCGCCTCGGTCGCGTCGCTTGCGATCAACACTGTACCGTTGTTGTTGGTCGGTGTTGTGGCTGTTGTTATGGCGGTTGTGGTGGCACTTAAGCTAGTTGTGTTGTTGTTAAGCGAATCTATTTGTATAATTGCGGTTGCACTATCTAAGCGAGTAGTAGTTATTGCTGTTGTTGTTCTGGTGTTTGCTGGTGTTGCCGTCGCAGCGTCTAAATCGTAAATATTTATGGTGTTATCGACTAAGCTACTATTAACGGTATTATTGAATAACAAACTTTTATTGGTTGTAGGTTGTTTTGATAAAATTGAAGAACGCTGTTGTTGTTGTGTTTGTATATGTTGTTGTTGTTGTTGTCGGTCTGTGTAATGGAGATGCAGCTGCTGCTGAGTATGCTCAGGCTGATGTAGTAGTAATAGTTGTTGTTGTTGTTGTTGTTGTTGGTGCTGCTGTTGTTGCTGCAACTGCTGCTGTAGTTGTAAATCATGCTTGCTTATTGTTGTTGTCATTGTTGTACTACTTAAACTAGTTTTACTACTAATCGCTTTCAAAAATTTATTATCGTTATCTAAGGACCCCTTTTGTCACTGAATAACACAGAAACCCTGCTTCGACGCATCCTTCGCATCCGCCTCCTCACAGAACGCCTCCTCCTCATTTTTCGGTGACTCTGCCCCGCAAGGGCCACCGCCACTGAGGCTAGGTGGCCCCTGAGGGCAGGCTGATTGTCACCGAAGTGCAAGTGTCGATATCATTGGCGGCCGCACCGGTTTATTCTCTAATATGCGCTCTAACTCCATCATAACACTGGTTGAGAGGCGTGGCAGTAGCTGGAGGTATAGGAAAAGGGAACAAATAAATAGTTGTGTGAGAGAAACTGAAATAAATGTTGTAAATAAGTACATATCGATGGCTGAGTGGAAGATCGACCTATCTCTGCAGCCAGTTCGAAAACGCCCTATTTGAGAGAATGTTTCAACAACGCTCTATTTCAGAAAACTTTTCAAGAATGCCCTACTTCAGAATTTGGTTGAATAACGCCCTATCTCAGCTGCCGATTCAAAAATGCCCTATCTCAGCTTTTTTTTATGTATTTTCGTTTGAGATAGGGCGTTTTTGAACCGAATTCTGAGATATTCAACCAAACTCTGAGATGCGGTGTTTTTCAATAAAATTCTGAAGTAGGACGTTCTTAAAAAGTTTTCTGAGGGCGTTTTTGAACTGGCTCCCGAGATAGGTTGATCTTCCACTCACTCGATATATTTCTGTATGCCTATATGTACATTAGATCGTACCACCTTACAAGCAAACAAAAAAAGTTTGAAGTAGTCTTAAGTAATTTCGCAATGCAATTTCAAAAAATATTTTTTTTGCCCTTTTAACGTTTTCTTTGTCACCTACATTCGGCAATAAAAATTTTTTTTTTTTAATGTTGGGTAAGTACTAGAAAGGCGTCAATGAACTTTGGAAATATATCATACTTTGCGGTCCGACTGTAAATGGCGAAGCTTTGACGAAAAATATTATCGGCAAACAAAATTTTTTTTTTTCGAAATTTCTCTGCAAAATTATTTTGGTCTTAATGGTGCACGGTAAACTTTTTTTCGGCACGTCTAATGTACATATTTATAATTAACTCAAGTAGTGGAATTCTAGAAATTGCTACCACTTTTGATTGCCAAGAGGCTCCGAAATTCGAATCAAAATATTTACTGCCTAAGCAAAAATTTAATGACTATTTTCGAGCTGAATTTACGGATACGAGATCTGGTAGGTAAGTATTAGAAAGGTGCACCTGAGGTCACTGAAATTTGGAAATAAAAAAATTTACTCCTCATGAAGACAAGGACATCGATATATCATGCTTTAAGATCCGACTGTAAATGCCAAAGATATGACGAAAAATATTTTCGGCCAACAATTTTTTTTCCAAATTTCTCTGCAAAAATACTTTGCTCTTAATGGTGCACGGTGAACTTTTTTCCAGCACGGTCTAATGTACATATTTATAATTAACTCAGGCAGTGGAATTCTAGAAATTGCTGCAACTTTTGTTTGCCATGAGGCTCCGAAATTATAAAAGGTTTGTTTAAAAATATGCAACAGGAAACCCTAAGATCTGCATAAAAAAAATTGAGTCCATTAAGGATAGCCGCATAATTTTTAGGCACATCCCTTATTTAGCTAAAAAATTTTGGTGTAACTCACCTGCAAGGATTGCAAACTCTGATGCAATTGTTCGGCCGAAGTTGCGCCCAAAAGCAAACACTGCACCGGCTCATGTTTCAACGACCAAGCAATGGAGAGCTGTGTTGGACTGCAACCCAATTTTTCGGCCAGCGCTGCTAAATCGCGCAAACGATCACAATGCCGACGTCCTTCGTCAACGCGATCTTTACCCCAGCTGCCTTGTGGTGATAAGGCCGCCTGAAAGTATGAAATTTAAAGTAATTTCCCATATTTAATAAGAAAAGCTCTTAAAAATATAACCATAGTATACGCGTAATATTATATCCTTAATTTTTTCAACTTACGTTTCGGTTTATTTCATCCTCGGTCCATGAATAACTTTGGCTCTTCGTCTTGAATGATCCCTTTGGCAAGAAGAGTTTCTCCCCATTTTGCGTATCGGCCAATGCCATCGATAGCGGTCCCCAAGCCATTAGGCCCACACCAATCTTATTATACATTTCGGGTAAATACAGTTCACATTTCTCGCGGCAAAACATGTGATACTCGGATTGCTCGACAATGGGCGTAATACAGTTGAACTGACGGCAGTTTGTGTAGGCTTCCATAATTTCGACTTGCGACCAACGTGCTGTGCCCCAATACATTGCCCAACCTTGCTGAATGACATAATTCATGGCACGTACCACTTCTGTGCACAAGTGTGTAATAAGAGAGGTGGATATGCGTGAATGATAAAAATTTTCTACAACATAATTTTCAATGTACATTTTCTTACCTTCCATGGGACACATTGCGTCAGCCTTATGTATAATCACAATGTCTATATATTGTAATTGCAAACGTTGCAAACTCGCCTTAACACATTCGATAATGTGCTTGCGTGAAAGGCCACGTTCTTCGGATCTAGGGAGGAGAGTTAAAATATAAAGCGATAGAAAATTAGGAAGAAATGGAGAAAAATCTTAGTATAATTGCTTGAAATTAGGACCAAAAAATATTCTTATAAGTATTTCGGTTTCTCCGGAATACTCTTTTTTCGTATCAGGTTGTCTGCGTGGTGATCTGGCTAGGCACAGGAACGGAAAATAATCATTATTTTTTCAATTTTAACCAAAAAAATCAACAAGTTATAATCGTCGTAAAACGATTTTATTTATACCCATGTATTTGTTTTCGTACGTCCCACTGTAATTTACAATGATTTTTATTTTTCGACTTTAATCAATAAAGATTAAAAATAATAATTAATATTTGAGTTTTAATTTTTCGCTCAAAGGTAATTATTATTTTATGATTTTTTTCACTTAAGAATAATAATATTTCAAAAAACTTAAAATCTATACCAGTGTGATTTCTGACGTATTCTTTTAAGAAGTAGCGACACCCTAATTAAAGGAATAAGTCTCAAAAGTTTCAGGTCAAAATTTCAATTTTAGAAATAATCTTTAATTTTAAGTGGAAAAATGAAACTCAATAATAATTATTATCTCCGAGCGAAAAAATAAAAATCATAAAATAATCATTATTTGTGATCGAAAAAATAAAAATCGAATAATAATCGTTTCCGTTGAACAAAAAAATAAAAATCAATAATAATTATAATTTTAGAGCAAAAAAAAAACACTCATAAAATAATAATTAAATGCTGCTTTAAATTATTTAACTCATAATGATTACCGTCCCTGGCATGTATATGGGTATTTATTGCGTTTACTCACTTGGTGCTCCAGTAAACTTTTGTGGTAATCACATATGCGGTCCTCTTCCAGCCGGTGCGCTGCAAAATCTTTCCAATTTCCGTCTCTGAATGCGCCTCAGAGATATCAAACAAATTGATGCCACTCTCGATGGCCAAACGCAATATGGCTTCGGCTTGTTCGTCACTAACGCCGGGCGAAAAGACCGGCCACGTACCCAGACCGACGTTGGAGACGCGCAAGCCGCTCTTGCCAAGATTCTTGTAGCGCAAGCCGGGCGTCGGCGTGGAGCCATGGCGTAACGGTAGTGCCGGATTCGAGCCCAAACTTATCGAACGGCCTTCAAAGAGCGCGCGCACACACATCAAGAGAAGCGGGAAGAGAATATTAGCGAATAAGGTCAAACAAAGGAGAATTAATTAATTAAACTAAGCGACATTGACGTGCAAAACGAATGAGTTAACGACCAATTGCGAGCAGCGAGTACAGTGGCGTGCAAAGGTTTTATTTTTGTGTTTTTTTTTGTTTTGATTTTTTACTAAAATATTTAATTTGTTGTGGGGAAATTTGTGCACGGCATAGGAGTATAGTATTTTTTGTTTACATGTATGCATATTTATGAAGTAAGTGTGGAAGCAAACTTTAATTAAGCAATTACAAAAACGATACTCAGCCTTGTAGATTGAATTGAGTGTAAGTTGACATTTTGACATTTTGGTCATTTTGACATATTTTCATTTTTCATTTGTGCGTGCTGCACAGAATTCCAAACTAATGAAAAGAAAAAATCCACAACCTCAATTGGCAGGACATGAATTTCGTATTAATTGCATGTTTTTCGATAACTTTACCTAGTGTTGCGCTACATTTTCGGTGTTTGGATTTATAGACATTTACAACAAATGAAATCTATTTAAACAACAACAATACTGTTTAATTGATTAATGAATGTAATGATGAATGAATGAGCTTATGAGTTACTATTTGAGTAAATAACAAACATATTTTATGTACATAAACAAATGAAGCAACAATAATTTCTCAAATACTCTTTTCACACTATAAAAACCAAGAAAATAGTAGGCTATTAATTACCACAAAAACTTATTAATTTTGCTAGTATTCGAAAAATAAATACTTGACTTAATTGATCAAATACGTATACACACACACACACGAAAATAGTATGAGAACAAAATGAGAACACTAATCATTAGAACACGAGTACAAGCGGCAGAAATTGGTAGTGAGAAATTTGATACCGAAATCAAGATGACCTCCCGTACCACTGAACTCCTCCATGCAGTCAAGTGACGCTATTGGGGCCCGGCACCTGCAATTGAAATTTAGCGTAAAAAGTAATTAGTAAATTAGAAAATGTTTATATTTTGAAAAAATAAAACAAGGTATGTATGCACTTTAGGGTGGTCCCTAAAAAATTTTAAATTCTATATTTTGCATGGGACCCCTTTTATTTTGTTATATGTACAAAATATTTGCTTACACAAAAATTTCAAAATTTCAAAAAAATAATTTTAGCGGTCGCTAGCAAGATTTGAAAAAAATTAAACCTGTTAAAAAAAAAAAAAAATTGAAGATTATTTGAGAAATCTGTCAAGTGCTAAAAGTGTGGTTTAGAGAAAACTGAGAAAAATGCGAAATTAAGAAATAAGGTTTTTTTAATTCAAAGTTTTTTTTTTATAATTTTAATTGTTAATTTTAAATTATTTAGCGGGTTTCTGTGGTAAACGAAACAATTATTCGTTATTTTTGAGTGTTATTAGCAAATAAAATTATCTTTGAATTAAACAAGAATTTTAATGTATTTCAAATTAAAAACTTGTATGAAGATGCACAGAAATTCTCAAACGAATATCAAAAACCGCAAAAAAAAACAATTCAGAAACACTAAAAAACATAAAACACTTTTGCATTTCATTCCATTTAGCAGCCATATGGCAATGGTTCGCTTGGGTTTATGCACTAATCGGCGCGTTTACTTCCAAAGAAGAATATTTCGTACTTAACTCATTTTTGTGTAAAACTTTCGTGGACGTCATTATTTTGTGGCAAAATAAAGGGGTGCCCAAAAAACTTGTTACATTTTTACTTGTTGATATTTTAAGGACCACCCTAAAGTATGTACATACAGTATAACTTTTTGCGGAAGTGGTTTTTATTTCAGCCTTTTGCGCCTAGATAATTTTGTGTTCAAAGTATCTGTTTGGATACCAAGTACCCATATACTGAGAATTAGAGACGACTAAGTACGAAGGTTAAAAAAATCTTAGGTTTGTAGCAGTTGCTAAAGGCTTAAGAAAATATAATTGAGGTATGTGTTTAGTAGATTTCTAAATCCTAAACTGGTCAGGAAGAGAAACAATTATTATTATAATCGATAATTTTTGTTTTTATATTTTATTGATTCGGGATTTCTCGAAACATTTTAAGAGATTCTTTGTATCCTTCGAAAAGTTTTTTCCATATTCTTCAAGTTTTACTCTTCAGTATTACTTTTGGAACTTTGCAAAGTTTCGTATTTTTGGGATTTCGGGATTTTCGGAACTAGTTCAAGCTTCTTCGCGTTGAAGCCACAAATATCAAGTATCTGAGTACACGGTAGCATACATACAGTATGTAAATATTATCTACTCGGTATTTTGTGACACCCAAACAACTTAAGTACTTACTTGGTTATTTAATACAACGTGTGTAAATACCTAAATACTTTTGTAGTTAGTAATTAGTATTTAATCAATACTATTTTTCCCAACCACTAGAACTGCTAGAAATTATCACGCAATTTTTATATTATCTCCCACACATACATATGTATAATAGCAAAAAATAGTGACTTCAAATTATTGAAGAAATTAAAGGAAAAAACCACGTCACGCTTGCACTGAACTTTTTTTCTGTAGTGGCACGCAATTCGCACGCAAAAAGCCGCAGCACTTGGGATTGCTTGCCCTCATTTGATTAAAATTTCAGCTAATTTCAGTTGACCTGTTCGGCGTTGATTGCCAATGCTATTTTGTTCGCAAACCTTCATGAGAATATTTACACTTTTACTTCAACACGCGCACGCACTCACTTTTTGGCTTTCACGTTACCATTTGCGCTTATTTGTCCTTATAAGCCGGCCGGTTGGAGGTCGTCAATTGTTGGCGCGGCATAAAATGGTAATCCTGCGATTGACTTTTTACGCTCGTACATACGAGTAAGTGGCTTGTAAATGCAATTTTCTCTCGGTCACTTAATATTTAATATTATTATTATTATTTATTGAGTGTTCGGTGTTAAATTGGCATCTCGGTAGTATGGTCTGGTCTGACTGATTGCTCTTCTGATTGGCATTGAGTCAATGTGGTAAGCAATTGCGTGCGATAGCTGGTATTATTTAAGCTCAAGGATAACTGAAGTTATTGTAATTGCCACTTTATTTACATAGCTTAAGCAAACTTACCATGAGGGAAAGCTACCCAGCATAGCCTAGAATAAATTATTTATTCAAACCATAAATAGACGTATCAAAAAAGTCACATAATTACTCGCATGGGGTCTGCGATGACCGCAAAGGTAATAAATAGCTAGCGGCTCGATCAGAAATATTAAAATATTTTATTAAAATGTATACAAATTGTATGTAACTCTACAAAAAAACCCAAGCAGCAAGGGAAAAAACCTTAAGTCTCTAATCGGATATTGGCGAATTTTAAGTTAACAATGTTAGTTTGATATATGTATGTACATCCACTCCTTCATGGTTGCTGTACGATGGGATCCCTTTATTATTCTCTGGATCGACAATAGGTTCAGTAGTAGAAGCATGAGTGCGTCATTTGGTAACGCTGAATTAACGAAAATAGCTACTTCTATGGGTGGAATTCTAGCTTGTCTCTTATGGAAGAGTGTGCTAAATGAATTTAAATATGCTTCTCAGTACATCGAAAGCCATTAGTGTTGTTGTGCACGCCGATGACTTAGTTATACAGGTCATAGGAAAATTCATTTCGACTAAAGCCTGCACTTAATGCCCTGGAAAGATTTGTAGGCAGAAAGTAACGATCTGGGGGTTTATCCCTTCAAAACTTAACAAGGTCTGTTCTTTCGAATTCTATCACTGAATGGCGCCAATCTTAATTTGTTAAAAGAGGCAATGCTTTCGGTACTTATTTTTGAGACTAACTTTCCTGGAAAGGAAATACTGAGAACCCGAGAATGACAGCTCCAAATGCGCTCTACTCCAGCACGAGTTCAACTGGAAAGCGAGATCCATCAAGCGCCATTAAAATTCGTCTTCGTTATGAGGAGCCAAGGTGCGTGCGAAATAAACAGTGGTACTTCGGGAAGTGAGAAAGCAAGCCAATGCACGAGAAAATAATCTGAAGAAGGACTAGAGAAAGCGTACAGTGTCCTTTGCGATTTATATACCCACGAGTTGAGAAAATATAATTTGCACACATGTACTGAATCGCGCCCAATTTGGCTACTGCTCGATGCACGAAGAACACGCAGTTTAGTAATGCTTTCAAAATCTACAAAAAATACCAGGTGCACTCTGGACAATTGCCCATATGGCTGTCATGTGCGTAGCCCAATTGAACGAATTTGTCCAGCACTTCCTATGCGGACAGGTAGGGACGAGTGTGAAAACTCGTCTCTTGGACATCTCAATCGCCTGTGCGGCCCCGAGAGAACTCTTCAACTAGAGAGGTCCGCATAACCTAGCCAGGGATGGTAATTTAGTTTCGGTTGGGACAGGCTGCACTGCCCAAGTGTTTACTCGGTGACCACAGAGCTTCAGAGGTATAGAACTTTTTAAATACTTATCCTTAAAACATGGCAATCTTTTTAAGTGTCCGAAATCGTCCGTAAGTCCTTAAGTGACATCACGGCTTATGCTCTCAAGGTTTACGAAGCATTTTCTGACCAGATGGAACTTGATGCCAAATGTTTCAGACTTGAAAAATGCTCCGTAAGATGTTTTTTAAGGACGTCAAATTATGGTAAAGAGTGTACATAAGGAGTGTCTAATAAAAAAAATTGTATTTACTCTATAAATTTTTTAGTAGGTGGAGAAAAGACAAAAGTACACAAGCTCAAAAGGTACTGGTAATAATATCATATGTCGCGGGTTTTAAAGTTTGTGTAGTTTTAAAAAGTATGTTAAACAGATTTTGAAGTGTCAGGTGTAGCTAATTTTGAAGGTATTAGTTATTAAACAAAAAAAAACTCAAAAATTACCAGAAATAGAAACACCGCCTTTTGATTACATACTCCTTATAGTAATAGGTATATTTAGCTAGATAGACTTTTTAGAAATTATCTGTATAGCTGTTGGATGAATAAGGATAAAGGCTATCCAAAACAAAAAAGGTAGATATCTGATTTCTCTGTATCATTTTGCTTTTTCCAATATGGAAAAATAAAGCTTTTAGATGTGATGAAATTCCAATGAGATTCCGCAACCCTGGAAATGCCCACGTGTGCTTACATATGCATGTGTCATATATTTTTATTTTTATAGCTTTCGCAAAATAGCAACAAGCCTTTAATTTTCACAAACAGAATTCAAACAAGTAATCCAGCTGATTCTTTTCACATAAAAAACAGTTTACTCACCAATTTGCAACTTTAGTGCAACATACGATTTTGTATGTGTGTAAGCATGTATGCACATAAGGGAACTGCAATTATTCGTGTTTTAAGGTCCTTGGTTAAATAACACAAGAAAAAGTATTAGTGGAAATTAGTCATTGAAAAATATTCACTTATACTCCTTTACGCACGGCACACGAAGCGAGAGTATGTACAATGACTAAATTCTCTGTTTTTACCCTACAGGGGTATACTACTGCTACTAGTAAAAGACAGATTTCGCTGATAAGTTGTTCGAAATCGTCGAAATGGCCGTCGCTTTAGCAAATACTTGTTAATGAAGTAGTATTTTTTCTGGCTAGGTTGGCCTTTGACTGCGGAAAACAGGTATAATTATAGTTCATAACGAACAAGTATGACTTCTATCCTTAAATAATGGTTCATGAACTGGAATTTGTGCATATCAGTTCAGCTTTTCAATGCAGGGTTTTAAACCGGTGTAGTGTACGATTCTCTCATGGACCAACTAAACAAATTGGTTCTGCCGAAATTAGTCGTAGCACCAATAGTTCATTCGATTGATTTAAGTGATTTTAGTCTTTTATAATAGCAACAAAACATGTATAAAAGGGAGCGAAACGATAGGAAAGCGGCAGCATGCGAAAGCACACTAACACACCCTCACATTTAACTCACGCTTGTTTATGGTAGAGAGCGTATGAGCCACAAAGC